TGGAAATTATTCTAAGAAACCCAACTATTTTCAGAGGTTTTCTACTATTTTTACATGAGACCTCTATTAATGGGAAATATGTCTAAAACCTCAAAAAGCCTACTTATTAATCACTTACAATTCCTATAAAATATCCAGGCTCATAAGTATGTAATTGCAGAAAAGAATCTAGAAGATGATGGGGAGAAAATATTCACTTTCCACTCTATATAACATTGTAGTGTTTGAATTAGCTATATAGAATTAGAAAATTTTCAGAAAAATTCCAAATAAAAATTTTGATTTCAAATTATATTAATTTTATTTTTGTTAATCCTCACCCAACGTAGTTTCTCCATTGATTTCTAGAGAGAGTGGAGGAGAGGGGAGAGACAGAGAGAAACATCGATGTGAGAGAGGCACATCAACTGTTGCCTCCCACACGAGCCTGCAACTGAGGTGCATGCCCTTGACCAAAATTGAACCCATAAACCTCCAGTCAGCAGGCTGACACTTTATCCACAGAGCATCTACCTGCAGACTGAAGGGTCCCGGGTTCGATTCTGGTCAAGGGCACATGCCCAGGTTGCAGGCTTGATCCCCAGTGGGGGGTGTGCAGGAGACAGATGATCAATGATTCTCATCTTTGATGTTTCTCTCTCTCCCTCTCCCTTCCTCTCTGAAATCAATCAAAATACATTTTTAAAAAAATGTATATACTATCAAAAGAATCTGAATGTTTACCTCCCATACTGTAATTTCCCTATAATACCACTGTCAAACACCCAATCCAGGTCCCATGTTGAATTTTCCTTTTCATCCATCCGGACATGAAGATGGCAACAATTCCATAAAAAAGTTACTAGGATGAATTATCAAAGTGAGAAGTGAGACTCTGTTATAATGAAGTCTTTCTGGATGAGTTGCAAGACAGACCTTTGCTAAAACTAAATGAATAGCTCCAAGTTCCAATTCATGGAAGAATAGTCTTATTAAGCTGGCTGGCATCTTATTACTTTTAATACCAGTTAGTAAAGAATCACCATTTACATTCACAGCCCATTTGGAGAGGAGAGGGAACCACTAAATGACTGAATGCCTTTATTTTTATTGTAAGGGCAATTTTGGTCAAGGGCATTTTTATTTTATTCTAAGGGTCCTTGCACAGATCTGTTTAATTCCCACCTAACTGATTATAGGACTTCAGTGTTCCAACTGCTCAATTCTGTAGGACTGAACCTACACCTGTGCTTTCTTAATAACACAGAAGATGAGCCAACTGCACTAAAAACATCTATAATGCTACCAAGATGTGGTTCTCAGAGGATACAGTTATTACACCACAGAACCACAAACTTCTTGACCCTAGGACTAGTGTTTATGGCACAAACCAGGGGTAATCGTTATGGCCTGTGGAGGAGGTTATCTTCGGGACAGGATTATTTAGGAGACATATAGCAACTGTAGGCTAAACTTACTCAGTTTTTAAACTTGCATCTTTAGAGGTCAGGGTACCAAGCTGTCCAATTTTACAAGCTTGTATGTTTTTACTTTTAATTCTAACATACTGACAATTATCTAAATTTTAAAACTCTTAATCAGTTCCCCCCTCCCCCCTGCCCCAAGGAAAGGGATCTCGTAAATAGTCCTTCCTATTTTATATTTATAGTTGAAACATTCTTTGTATAGCTTAAATTTCTTATAGAAGAGGATTGTGTTTCTAATCACAGAGAGTTCTCAGGGATATTATGGGAAATGATGAAGATACTTCAGGGTCTCAGAAACCCTAGGCACTAATTTGAGGCCAGTGACAAGTATTCTCCAGATCTGCTTCATGCCATCAGAAGGACACGTGATTACTCACGTGTTCTAAACATACTGTGCAAAAATAGCTCTCCTGACATTGCGTGTGCATCTGTTCTGCAACAGGGTCCACGCTCTGTCTGGTATTTCCGAGGTGAGGTGACTGCTCCAACACAGAGCTTGGCGTGGGGGCCTGGGACTCCCGGGGGCCTGGCTGTGGAGCACTCACCTCGAAGCGCCACGGTGCCATCATCGGAGAGTACGTTGGGGTCTAGGAACACTCTGGCTTCACCCTCTAAGGAATCCTGTACATATAATACTCGCTGGTTCTGCAAACCTGTATTGTAAAAATAGAAATACCTGCGGGGCAGAGACAGTCTTTATTTAGCTGTGGAGTTTCCTATTTGCAGAGTAAAACCAAATGCACATAAGCAAACACACACACACACACACACACACACACACACACACACACAGGTACCACAGCAAATGGGACATGGGGACTAGGTTGTAGGTCCCACCATCTCCCCGTACCCAGAGTTTACCTGAATTGCTTTAAATATTCAAATCCTGCACCTTAACTAAACAGAGACAAAGACTTTTATTTGCTAAATAAAAGGCAGCTGGGTAGGGGTCGGCAAACCTTTTCTGTAACGGGCAAGACTGAAAATATTTCAGGCTTTGTGGCCACACATCTCCGCTGCTACTACACAACTGTGAGTTTGTACAGAAGCAGCCACAGACAATATATAAATGAATGGACATGGCTGCGTGCCATTTAAACCTCATTTATAAAGCAGGTGGTGGGCAGGGCCTGGCATGCAGATCCACTTTGCTGATCCTTGGGGGAAAAAGGGATACTAAATTATTGATACTTCCAATGAGGCTTAAAAACCTAACTAGAGAATATGTTTGAGTGAGTGTAAGAAAACAAGGGAAGCAAATTATTAGGTTCTACTTCCTGGACAATTTTCATTTTTGCATAGAAGAAATGCATATAATAAAATCTTTTCAAGTAGTATAAACCAAAGATAATTAAATTTTAGAGGCAAACAAATCTCCATTGTTATTTATGAATCATGCAATCTCACCAATTACTAGCCATAAGAAAACAATAGTTTTTTGCACTCTAGATTTCGTTGTAGGACATATCTATACTAAATTTCTTTCTTTGTTTTTCTTTTTCTGTGTGTGATTATGTTCGTTGTTGGTTTTTTAAAAAAATTTATTTTTAATTATAGGGACATCTACTAAATTTTTTAATCCTTATTTTAAGAATTTGGACAATAGACCAAAAGATATTCTCATATTTAAGCATATAAATGAATCCATTTTATAATGAATTAATTTGATAAACTGGTAAGTTATTCAGAACTTGGTTTAACATTTAAGAATGCATTCAATTAGAAAAGTGAAATAAAATTAAGTGAAAGCAACATCACGTACCGCTTTCCTTTCTTGAAGTGGCAACTATACTTGGGATAGTCATACAGCTCAGTCATCCTCTCCTTGTATAAACCTCGGATGGGGCACTGCTCCAGGAACGGCACAGTGATCTTGTTCTGGGCCTCCACAAAAGCCTGCAGAAAAAGGTAAATGGCCCGAGAAAGTCAGATATAAAATTTACCATGAGACATGTTATACTTTAACTTGTATCAGAGAGATGCAGCAATTCCACTTCTGGGACTAGATCCAAAGATGTTGAAGAGATATTACTTACAATAGCCAAGATATAGAAATAACCTAAGTGTCCACTGATGGGTCAAATGGATAAAGAAAATGTGGTAAATACGTGTGTACAGTGGAATATTACTCAGCCACAAAAGGGAGGAAATTCTGCCATTTGTGACAACATGGAGAGACCTTGAGTGCATTATGCTAAGTGAAATGAGTCAGCAGAGAAAGACAAATACTGTATGGTCTCACTTATATGTGAAACCTAAAAAAAAAAACCCACACAAACATTCATAGAAAAGAGATCAGATTTGTGGTTCCCAAAGGCAGGGAGGTGGGGAGGGAGGGGGAAAGAGGGAATTGGATAAATGTGGACAAAGGTACAAACTTCTGTTATAAAATAGGAAGTATCAAGAATGCAATGTCCAATATGATGACTATAGTTAACACTGCTGTATGATATATATGAAAAAGTTAAGAGAGTTAATCCTGAGTTCTCATCACACATTTTTTTTCTTTGTATCAATATCAGATGATAGATGTTAACAAAATTTAATGTGGTAATCATTTCACAATATATGCATAAGTCAAGTCATTATGCTGTATACCTTAATCTTACACAGAACTGGAGGAGGGGGTAGACTAAAAAAATGTAACAGTGAAAGCATATTTTCCCTCCATAAATAATAACGAATATTTACAAGGCACAAACTTTGTACCAGGCAAGTATTAACTCATTTGGAACTCATAATCGAAGTTCTTTAAGTAGCCCACCCCTGTGGATAGGGAAACTGAGTCTCAGAGGGGTTAAAAAGCTGCCCGGCATCATGCAGCGAGGCAATGGCAGAGCTGGCTCCTGTGAATCCATGCTCTTACCAAGCACGCTCAGATCACAGTAAACCTCACTCACACTGTGCTAAGGCTCTGGCTGCTTAGTCAGCAGCTGGGGTCCCAAACATCAGAGTTAAAGATATAAGGTTAGGGATACCTAGGCGCTATTTTTATAAATTTTGTCTTTGACTTACTATCTTTCTAAGACCTACTACCTTGTCAACTTCACTAATATTTTTTAAAATTGGAAAATGAGTGGCATTGAATAAGAATATCTATAATACATGGTTTATACGTAGAGCAAGCGGTAGCCTGCAGGAAGGCAGGGGACCCTGCCAAAGTAGTTTTTTGCAACAACAGACCAGTTGTAGCTAAGCATACCCTGTTGATAACTAAGCAGTTAGAAAGTAGCTTTTGACTTTTGTTACAAAATGGATACATAGTTGCAAAGCCACTCAAGAGGCAGCATTTTGAAGATTACTAAGCATGTGCAGGAGCATTACCCGATTTCATGGGGGAAGGAAAGCCACGCCTACCTGGCAGACATGGCAGTGGAGGTAGGTGGTCAGTGGCCGATCAAGGTCATGCAGTGAGTTAGCAATAGCTCTGAATTACTTTATTCCAGACATTGTGACAGAGGCTGAACAGTGACCGGAGCTGACTCCATGTCTGATGTGGGTGTGGAGACGAAGCAGACCCACCCAGGGGAGAAGGGGGGCAGCCTGGGCCTCCTCTGACTTTCTCCCGCTTGGGCTGGGCAGGACAGGCCCCTTGGGGTGCTGGACCACCAATGAGGATTTAGTAAGAACCTAGGGTGCCTCAGCACTAATCCGGGCATTGTGAAAGGAGGGGGGACAAGTCTAAGACCAGCTTCCGTGAGAGCAGAAGCCACATGGACTAGCTGGTCTCTAAGGGGAGCAGGAATGGCCATTACAATGGGAGTGAGATGGGGAAAATGGGCACAGCGCAAGGTAATGTGTAGTTTTGATAGCTATATCCCAGAAGGGCCTGACCCTGCCCTCTGAGGAGGGCACCACAAACTTCATTTCTCGTCCTCTGGTTTGTGTGTGGATGAGGCTGCATCCAGGCCTTCTCCTGGCTGCAGGACAGCCTGGCTCTAGGCGGACATGGTGAGTCCAAGAGTCACAGATTGCCCGGGGGTTTTCCTTGGCAAGGTGGAACTGTGTTCTCTGATCGTGTCTCAATTCTGCGCTGCTTCTCTTACACATCTCATGGCACTATCACAACTGCTGCAACAGAATCCATCGCAGGCTAAAGCAGACACATGGCTCTTCCCGTTTAAAATGGTTGTAAAACTGTTAGGTCAGGTATAACAATGCCACCAAATACTCACATAACTCTAGGATTATTACACCGAATTCTGTCACCTCCCACCCACAAGTGTTAGGCAATGACTTTAAACAGAGCAGCGTTTAAGGACTGCACCCTTCCAAGTCAAATACCTAGACGCAAAACCAAACAGTGTTCAAATTCCTCCACGTCTGAAGTTCTTTCACAGTAAACAGCTTTATAACTTGGGCAAATCCTTGTCCTGAAGGTGGTGGGAAACTTTCTGTAAAGGGGCTTTGTGAAAGCTGGGGTTCCACAGAATGCCAATAAAATTCCTGGCATTTTAACCAGGAAAATACCTTCTTGCTCATTAATGGATTTAATAGTCTGGTTTCTTGGTCTAAAAATTAGAACAAATTTGGGGGAAAGGTTAAAGGAAGGAACCTGGAGGAATTACATGATGATAAAGAAGCAGGCTGGGGAGAACTAAAATGCTCTTCGTTCCTCAGATGTTTTAGCATCTGAAGTCACTCTTCACGATGTTATCAAAAGAACCGAAACCTGAGAGCCCATTAACCACACCTGCAGCAAAGCCTCTACATTTTAGAGGCTTTTGAAAAGGATCAACAGTTCAGATGCTATAGCTATGGATGAATCTGAACCCATTTTCCCAAGAAAAGCTGCTCAAAACAAAGAAATCCTGTTCATATATCATTAGAAAACTTCAAAGCAAAGGGAAGTTTCCATTATGCAAGATGAATAAATTCCAGAGATCTCTGTGCAATATTGTGCCTATGGGTAACGATACTGTATTGTACATATAAAATTTTAAGAGGGTGGACCTCATGTAATTTAATTCTTACCATTAAAGGAAAAAAAAAGCAAAGTGCCTCAGCAGAGGGTTGCAAGGTGTGGGAGCTGGAGATTCCTTTACCCCAACTGCCTTCAGGAAGAATTTTTTCAAGATGTCCTCACCTGTCCTGTATTTCAATCCACAAAATACATCGAGTCCTCTGACAAGTACAATTCTTACATATGTAATAAAAATGATGCATAGTTACTCATCACACACACACACACACACACACACACACACACACACACACACCAGCATGACTATATAACATGGAATTACAAAGATGAATTAAGGATAAGAATAAGTGCTACAGGAGAACAAATGAAGGGGACACTACTTCCAGGATAAGGCGGGGCGGGCTGGAGTAGAGGTCATGTCAGGACGACCAGGAGGGAGCTCCAGGCAGAAGACCAACTCGGGCACCAGCATCCACCTCCAAATACCAATAAAAGCTAGGATAGTGCTATCTACATCCCACTGCTGCAAACTACAAGAGAGAGAGAGAGAGAGAGAGAGAGAGAGAGAGAGAGAGAGAGAGAGAGTGTGTGTGTGTGTGTGTGTGTGTGTGTGTGTGTGTGTGAGATGACTGTTTAAGCAACTATCAGGGGGCTCTGAGAAAGGCAGTGTGGGTGTCATACATGGCCTGGCAGAACACCAGGATCCCACACGTCCTGGTGGCCAGAGGGGAAGCACACTTGCACCCCCACCCCCCTTTGCTGGAAGTTTAGCAGGATCTGGAAGGCAGGGATAACCCCATAAAAAAAGTCAAAAGGTGGCAAAACTCATCCCCTGAGGCTGCAGGACCGGGGGCCAGGAGGGCCGAGCAGCCACACAGAAAACTGGAGGTCGGTCATGCCCAACAGAATGTCAGAGGCAGCGGCTTTAGGAAACATGCCTAGAAACTGAGACTATAAATGGAATAATGCATGTTATCAGACTAATATGAGGACTCATTACTTCAAAGAGAAAAGAGTGCCCCTTATTTTCCAGTTCTCATTGAATATTTTAAAAAATCAGCAGTCCACCAGACAAAGGAATCCTTAAAGCCCAAGCAGTACTGTGACCGCAATGCCATTAACCTCAACTAAGTGAGGTGCCTTTCTCTCCCTGGCCACCCCCCAACCCCCAACTCATTTCCAAAGAGGAGAAATACCAAATCTAATCTGTGAAATCTGGAATTCATTGGGCTTGTCTTTTAACTTCAAAACCCCAGCATGTTTGCATTCTGAGAACACCCGCTCTCAGGTAAGGGAAGCTCCCGGCGCTTCCAGCTGCACATGCTTAGCAGACCAGGTGTCTTCCACCTTCTTGCCTGTCCCCATCTGGGCAAACCAGTCCCCTCACTGGGGCTAGTTACTTCTGTCAACCAGAAGGAAGCAGAAACCTGCATTTTGACCTGAGATTCAGCCTTGTTCTCAAATCTCGTCACTAGCAGGGAGCTCATTCTAAGCTGGAACTTGAGCCCCACCAGCTCTGTTCTTCAGTGTATATACTACTGACCAGAAACTCGGCCAGGAGGGAGGGGAGGTGCGCCCCAAATCCAAACCTAACTAGAAACCCAATCATGAAGAAGTTAAACACATACGCATCCTCTCTTAAATAATTCCTGTGCATCAATGAGGGAATCCAAATTAGAACGAGAATATATAGAAAAACAAAAAAGACCACTAAGAATTGAAGTTCATGGGGTGTGGTAAAAACATTCGGAGTTGACATCTGGTTTTGTTTGGTACGTTTGTGAAGTCCCTCGGATAGAGTGGGGCTGTCACCTCTGCTGGCCATCAGTGCACCCCTCCCCTAGACCTGGGACTGATCCAGGGTCCTCGACACCCATGCAGGATGAGGCTCGCAGTTGGTCTAGAACAGGGGTGGGGAACCTTTTTTTCTGTCAAGGGCTATTTGGATATTTATAACATCGTTTGAGGGCCA